CTCCTAGTCGCTTCATGCTACAGAAACCGGGATAAGCTCCGGCCTGATGGGCCACTTGGCTCGTATGCAGACCTCCCCCCTCCACGAGTCAGTTTCTTTACATAAGTTCTACCTCTTACACTGACCTTAAACGTTGACGCAGTTGTCTTCTTGTGTTAATGTGTCTGTTTTGCACAGAACGATTCCGACTTTGAACTTTCTATTACACAGATAACAAAAGAAATGAAAAGAGCTTGTTCCATTGGTCTCTACTTGGGCCTAGCTAAGGACAAGCTAAAACATATCTAAGGGAATAACACAAATGTAGACCTGATCTACGGTAATACGGCTAACATTTTATTTGTAAAATTGTTTGTATGGTAATCCAATGAAAAAAACAATCGGCTTCCATTAGCGCTCAGGAATAAAGATTTGCTGGCCAAATCTTCATTTCTCAAGTGACAAATCCTTTATCAGATATGACCGTGAAGAGTTAAGGAATCCAGTTTAAAAGAACGGTAAATTTGACATCAACCTCGCATCTTAATTTGTGTTTTTTACAATGCTTTCCTAGCACGCAAATGTCCTCGTGTTATTAGTACAAGCTAACACCAATGGCCTAACCAGATTATAGAAGCCTTAATTAAGACATTATGTGCATGCCTGTAAAAAGACAGACAGTCAACCTAAAGCACTAAAACAATTCAGGTGTGTCGCCACTATCAATAAACCTTACCATATGCTCTTGAGAGAATAACATAGTTTTCTTTGTAAAGGCGTTTTTATGTTTGTCTAAGAGATTAAGCTGGGTCATAGTACGCTGCAGTTCTTCCTCTCGTTCTTTCTGCCAGAGATTTTCTTCCTGAAGTGTAAAAGCAAACACAAACGAATAAATGAGTTCTACTGGAAAAACTGCTATGTTAGGCAGTGGACTGTGTACTGAATGAATAACTGCCAACATGCTAACAAGTAATGTCAATTGAAATTTCTGTTCCGTTGCTACTCACTTGCTGTCACTCTTCGGCTGTTTAACTTCATGCAGTGGTTCAGAGATTGTAGGCCCAAAATAATAATTAAAATGTCATAAAAGCAAGAAATACCTGCTTTTGTTTTTTCTCGGCATCTTTAATTTTCTTGGCCAGGATTTTGTTACCCTGGCGATTGAAGCAAATTATATATTATTAATATCTATTATTCTTTAAGTTGTTTACTGCAAGGCACATACAGTGATGACTTTGTTACAGAAAACATGCGCTAAGAGATCACATGTTTGAGTGACATTCTTGAGAAGTGTTCATTGCCTTTAACGAACCCATTCATTGCTCTGGAGAAACTTCTAAATTGAGTAAGGAATGTACCTTAATTACATGAAATTTTCGCGAAACGTTTATTTCGCGATTTTGAGGTGCGCATATTTCGCCACACTTAAATTCCACGATTTGGCGGAAGTTTTGTATTTTGAATTACTTTAACCTCGCGTTTTCGAGTTACAAACAATTTATTTCCTTGGCAATGTTACTTAAACATGTCCTTGAATTTAGCAAAACCGACTTTATCAAAGGTTCAATAACGTCAAAAGTAACAAAACGCAACGGCTGGACTATATGTTAACAGTGACATAATGTGAGTCACTTAATTTTCGCGTCATGTTAAGTTCGCGACACGCATTACTTTAATTTCGCGATTTTTTTTAAATTGCGAAATTCGCGAAATTAACGTGTCGCGAAAAGATCATGCAATAAGGTACACAACGTCAATGCCTGTGAACATCTGAGCAGAAAATCTGTTTAGATCATGAAATCTGCTTTGCAGACCTTTTGTAATAACTTGAAAAATGTGAGATATTAAAACCGCTGATGTGTAAACTTCAAATTTGTTTACCTCTCATTAATTTGTCACTTATTACGTAAACATGAACTGTGTCATAAATTATACCGACCTTTATTTGTTCCTGTTTTCTCTTTTCCATCTGCCAAGTGTAGTCCTTTGATAACAGCACCTCTAATTTGTCTTTTTTTAACCTCTGTTCATTTCTCAGTCGTCTAGCTCGCACTTCATACTAGTATTATTATAACAAGAACATTAACGTAATCCTGGTGCAAGGGCAGATCATTAAAAGTCTATTCACCTCTATTTATTCCTGAAACTGAACACGTAGAACATACTAAGCTTACCTGTTTCGCATCCTTAGCTTTATACGTGTCCCAAATCTCTTGTTGTCTCTGTCGATGTCTTGCCTGTCTTAGTTGTTCTTCTAACTTCCTCTGTTCACTCCATTCCATTTCTAACATCAATCGCTCCTTACGAGCTCTCTCTTGTTCTTCATGTCGTGACATCATTAAATTCACAATGCGTTGATCCTTTAAAAAAAGGAAGGTCAAACTTCAAACCGACAAGGCTTGGATAAGCCTTTTCAGCCTTCAAATATATGTAAGTAAAACAGTATTTTTACGCTAACTGCAGAAATTCTCGCGCGCTCATTGGCTTATTTTCATTGTCAATAAGCGGACAGACAGATGCATTTATAATTTACGCGGTGCGTCAAGGACCGAGAATGGACAATTTGTTGTCGTAAAAAAACAAATTGACGTCAGTGTTTTAAGCGTCTGTCCTGTTATTGACAATGAATTTCGTCATAACATTGTCAAAGTAGTCTGCGGATACACAGCTACTTTGAGAATGTTATGACAAAATTCATGATCAATAACAGGACAGACGCATGAAAAACTGATGTCAATTTGTTAAATATACGTGCATGTGCCACTTAATTTTCCTATCCTGAAAAAAATTTAAAAGAGATATTATCATGAGTTTTGTAATTCTGCAGATGCATCTCACTTTTCTCTAACCATGTACAAACTATTATCAAGTATACATTGTGATGAGCCCTTACCTTTTCTGACAAGCCTTTTCCATCTGAAGAACTTGGTATTGAATGTAAAAAATCAATGCTATCCATGGAAGCTGTTCTCTTGATGTGCTGTGGACCTCTTCTTCTGAATGAGCCTGCAGATGATGGTTTCTTACTTTTCCTTTGGGAATGCTCGCTGCTTGAGGACCAGCTTCTCCTTGCCTCCACTCCTGTTTCTGAGTCAGAGCTCTCTCCTCTGGGACTGACTGGGCTGCGGCTTTTGGTACTTGATGGGTAACTGCTACAAAGAATACAACATTTAACACTCGCCTGCAAACTGGTAGCAGATTCTAAAACCTAACACACCATTACATGTATGTCTCATTGTATATTAGTGCACAGACAGTACCATGAACCAAGCATGTTCAGTTGTTAGTGATAGTTACATGACTATTCAATGTTTGCAAGTGTTTCATCTGAGAAAACTGTGATGCAGAGATCAACCCTGTGACATGGGGGTCACCAATTACAATCATCCTATCCAGAAGATACTGCAGTCTCGTAGACCAGATAACTAAGGACAATAAGTCAGCAACAAGGACGCACATGCAATATCATGATAACTTGAATTATTTTACAACTAATAATTATTAGTAGTTGTAAATTCAAGTTATCATGATATGAAAACATAGCAATAAGGGGTGACAAACCTGTATTTAGTTTTTCCAGTTGGAGGTTTTTTAGCTTTTTCATCCATCAGATACACATTCTCTTTTCCTCTGAGATCAAGTGGACTTGCAGCCCTAAAAATTAACCTCTGATGCTGTAAGGTTAAAGTTTGGGGGCACACTCCCAATGAAAGAAGCACTGTCTGTTTTAAGATAGTATCTGGGTTTAATTCAATTTTTTTGATGAGCATCCCAACACCTTTAGCAAGAGTTAAGCCCTGTCCAAACAGGAAATGTTTGGCAATAAAACACGATCAAGCATTGTTTGGTTACCAAACATATTGCCATTTGGACCCCTTGTTTGATCATTTTGATAAAATTTTAACCACGACAAACATTGTAAAAGTACATTTTGTTTGTTTGGACAGTGATGCTTGAGACTGTTTGGACACTCAGTACCACATCAACATGCTTGGTCACCATACAATGCTCATGTTTGATCAGGGCTTAAATTAGTGAAGAATCAGTCAAATTCGGGATGTGTAACATCCTTGAATCTATTTTCTTGCCAAAATCTTACATTTAATCTTTGTTTTTTATTGCACTTTGCCAGGGGAACTTGAGACGACAATAACTATCAGAGAAGTATTTTTCACATATTTTTAAATTTAAACATATTTTACTTAGTAAATTTGGCTTGTATAGCATAGCAGGTACATAACTACATCATTTTATTTTTAATTCCTACTGGGACTCAGCCTAGTCTGTGATAATAACATTTTGGCATATTGAAGTTGAAGTTGAAAAAATATCCAACCTGTGATATCTGTGTGTCTCAACATGTTTAGAAGCTGTCCATCCATTTTGTTCTTCTTCTTGATCTTTATCATAGGGGTTCTTTTGTTTTGTGGAGCTACTTAATGCATCTTTCGTATCAGTGTTATCTGAGAAAATCAATGAAGCGAGTAAAGGGGTGGACCTAGAATGTAGTCCACAAGGAAGCAGAGATTTCATTCAGATACAGTGAGTTAAATCCTTAACCTACCCCTGCTAGCCCTAGGAGTCTCAACAGACTTAGGAAAACAAACTAAAAGATGCAACTTTCACTGAGTTACAAAATACATACATGTACATCTGGACAATGTACAACATGAGAAAGGGCTTTAGAATTAAATAAGAAATGTGAACAAAAGAGAAAAGTGACGTCTTTATACTTTCTTCAAGCTTTGAATGACAGGTGGTATTTCTAACAAGGACACCTCCTAGCAAGAGAATCAAATTGGTTTTATGATGACTGAATAAACTGTTAGTAAGAATGTCTATCTTACTAAGATCCACTTGGAATATCTGTAAACATGTAACTTTTAAATAAAGATTTAAACAGTCATCAATGAGATTCCAACCTTGGTGCTGTGGTGAACTTGAAAAGTGTTTCCTTTCCTCACTGCTGACAGTAGACTCTGTTTTCTTCTCTCTAATTATTCTCTCTCTTTCTTCTCTGCACAGCTTTAGTTTCCCTAATCAGATAAACAATGTAAATTGAATTCGACAACATAAAATAATTCATGTACATTGATTTTATTACAAGTACAAGTCATGCATTGGAAAACACTGCTTTGAGCATAGCCCAAATTTGATGACTGTGAAAAAATAAAAATAAATTGGTAGTAGTCTGTATGTGATGAATTTTGACCTTCACTTCTCTTGGAAACTGCTTTAATTATAATTATTTTAATTAAAATTTACTCTAGAGGCACAGACTGGGAGAAAAGGTAGTCTACTATCAGTATGTCTGCATGATCATATGAGACGATAAAATTACAAATTTTGGTTGTAAATACAGTGTACATATATTGCATAAAAAATATAAAGGATGAACAAAAACAAAGAAGTTGTTTTCTATGGTAGATGCGTGACACTTATATAAACGTTCAACAGAAGATTAAAATAAAACCTGATATAACATAGAACTATGTCAAAGTGTCAACTTGTGAAAAATCAAAAAAAAAACAACAAAATTCGGGGATAGCCCTTCTTCTGTACAGTCATGCATAGTGACAGTATAGCACTGCTCTTCAGAGTGGATAACTTGATATTTTGCATGATTCTATATGTTTAATTTGATCCATATGGGATGTTGGAAAAATATGATAAAGAACTAGTTAAGAAATGAAGCTTACTATAACGGTAGATAACCTCATGTTTAAAACACTTTTTCAAGCAAATCCAGCAGACTTCTTTGTGTAAATCCTTGTCTGCATTTTCCCAAACACCTCAATATTACACCAGGACAATTGACAAACATAATTTAGACCAAAAAAAGTTCCTTTTCCTTAGCTAGGTTAAATCTGAAACTCACTTAGCCTTTGCCGTTCATGTTCCTGGAACACTTCACGGACAGCATGATGGGAATAGTCAGTGTCATAAAGAGACGTGAATTCTTCTACAAACTCCTCTAGTGACTTATGTAACAACTCCACAGGCTGAAAAACAAATCATTGCTTCAAATATTGGTATAGTACATAAACTTAGCAGATTTCTGACACATTGCACTCTAAACACATCCACAACATATACATTAACACTCAGGCTGCTTTGCAGTTTTGTGACCTTACTACATGTAGTACTGAAAAGAAATGATAGAGATGCAAAATTGTTAATTAAGTGGCACAGAACCATAAAAAAGTGATAACAATAAAACACAAGGGATTATTTGGTCTGTTAACTAGCTCCTGTAGAGCTGCCAAGTTTTCATACAAGGATTAAATAAATGGTTTTAAGTGCTAATTTAAGTGTATTTAGACCTAGAATAATATTAATAAATTAATTTAAATATCTATATTCAAGCCATTTGACTTAAAAATTTGCATTTGATAATGGGAACAAAATGATGCCAAAATGCCCTGTATTAGTGTTTATATTTTCTGTTAAAAAACACACATAATTATTGACTAGCTTAAAGTACTGTACCTTTATTCCAAACCTTCCACAAGCCTAAAACAAAGAAACCAATATATTTACACATTTTAACTTTTATTAACAGCAACTGAAAAGTTAATGTTTATTTTTTACCATTGCTTTAATGCAAAAATTACAAAATATTAATGAACTTAACTAATTTGCAATATTTTATTTGACCTTAGATAACAAATGAGCATAAAAATAATAATTAACAGTAAACTACACGGCAAGAATGCTAAAGATACTCGAGGATCTTTGTAAGATCTTTTAAGGTCTTTTAAAGATCCTTGAAATACTCCTATCTTTATAAGGACCTTCAGTAGGTCTTTAAAGATCTTATATGATCCTTAAAAATCCTGGAAGTTTACCACCAGAGTAAGGTAAGCCCTACAGTATTTTATGCAGGGTAAATTTAGACAAATTTTCTACAAATATAACAGCAGTGTCAGTGCTAACTGAAGGGAGCTATCAATGCAGCAAACAAATGATTTGATAGTTGTCACAGAAAGCCACAAGAGAGAAAACAAAGCATTCACCAAGCACATGCAAATGATCTTTAATTAATCACTGTCCATGTCTGTCTCCTGTCCTAGCTGGCTCACTGAGTCAGTGCTAAATCTAGTTTCCACTTTCCCTGGATGGGATATTAAGCCAATAAAAGTTACTTCTCTGACCTTGACCCCTTGGAATTTTTCTCATGTTACCCAAAAATTTACATCTCACCTCAAGAGACCTTGGACTGGTCAGAACATAACGGCTGTGTTGAGCTTTTGGTTCCTCAAAATTAAACAGATCAAGATGAAGATCTGCTACTTTTGATGCTTTTTCTGAAAAGCAAAATTAACATGTTAAGTTACTCTACAACCATCAAGTGAACGTAAATGTTTGACAGGTGTAATAAAATGTGCCAGCAGATGGTAATTTTGCAGCCAACAGTAAATTATTTGCTGTCCCTTCTACACTAGCTTTCACTGATCCTGGCTAATAACAAATCTGTCTCTGGCCTTTGCTGTTTATTACCATACTTCTGTTATCCTGACTGCTAGAAATAAATTATTATTATTATTATTATTATTATTATTATTATTATTATTATTATTATTACAAAGAATTTTGTCAGGATCCTAATCTTCCAAACCAATTTAAAGGTTTTAAAATTATTCTTCTTGACACACTAGAATTATACTTGTGCTTTCAATTGTTCTTGAAAAGTCAGTTTTTGTTTCTAGTAGAGACAACACTCTAGCAACATTCCAGGGTCGAGCTACCAGAAGAATGCAAGCTCAAATCTAATGTGTGCAATGAGGTCATACTGTAAGTTCAACTCGTGCCTGAGACCTAAGTTTTGTTTTGTTTTGTTTTGTTTTTTTTTTCCTGAAATGACATCTTTCTCAAACTTAACCCTGTCAAGGAAGACATGTTATATTTAGCAGCTAGACAAGAGTGGCAGCCAATTGCAAGAGAACATGTAGACTTAAAGAGTACTGTAAAACAACACATCTGTAAAACGACACATCGTGAGTCTAGAAAATTAGTATAAATACATGGAACATAAAGTAGAATTTTCAAGTTTCAAGTGTCCAATAAGAACACTTAGCCACCACTTTACTAGACTTGGCACTTCAAGTGATGTCACTACCTACTTTTTATAGCACTGAATCTTTGATGGAAAAGTGCTTGCTGTAAAACCCCTTTAGAAAACCTAAGTTTTACATTTTATTTTTATACATGTAAGTGTCAAATATTAAGTGAACATAATTTGTAATGTTCGTGTCTGTTTTATACTTGCAGATCAGTTGTGCATAAGTCTTACTTTATATGAAACCCCGACTGATCTTTAGTCAAAACATACTGATGACCTCACTTATGTGGAATTTAAAAAACTACGTAAGCTTTAAATGAAATTTATTATATTTTTTCCATTAGCTTCGATGATTGCAAGTTCTGCTCAAGTCTACATGTATCTAAAGCTGTTACATTCCATTTTATCCCTAACACATGACAATTGTACATGTAAATAAGTTTTAAAAAGCTTAATTATTCTCCACATACAAGCCCTATTGAAGTCATACCTACCTTGAACATCAAACCGAACTTTACCAGATGTTCTTTGCCCTACTTTAAGATAGTAACATTACCGTTAGCTAAACGTTGTAGCTATAAAAGCAGCTTAACAAGCCAACAATCCCCAGGTACCTTTTCCAGTTTGCTCAAATAATGTTTCCCACTCATGATCGCTTGTACTGTTGCCAAGACGCCGTTTATCAACGTTTACGGGAGATGATTGTGCCCTTCTGAGTTCCCTCGACATTTCTCGCCAGTCCTGTCTCCTTTCTGAGGAATTCACCTCCACCAGGCCCACCACTGGCAGTTCTTTGCCTCTAATGTTGTTACAATATGCTTTTTGCCTGATTATTCATTCGTTACTTCTTTCCCTCGTTCGTTGAAAACACAACTTGTTACCAGTTTTTCTCCAAAGGTTTGTTGTCACCGGAGTAAGATCCTGGGACCGGAATAGACTGCTGACCACAATCTGGGGCTCTACATGAAGGTCGCCTTTCGACGCCTTGTCGAGTGAGGTTCAACTGTCTGTGAGTACATTGACTTCGAGTTGTGGAGAATGTACCTCAATGTACTGCACAGAAGTTAAAGACTGTAATAAGCTTTATCAAGGTAAATATCGAGTTCTTTTCGTTGTGGATAACTCACATCCTGAGGCCCCGATCCTCGCGATATTTTTCGATAACCTGCTGGCATGGCCTGCCATGGTAAATTAAGCTACAGGTGCATTGATAGATCAATACTTACAGGGTTGTCAATAGGTCAGGAAATGGTCAGGAAAAAATTCTTCAAGGTCAACGAAAACAAATATGTAGTCAGGGTATTATATTTTGATGATTTGAGTGAAAATTGACATAATTTTTTTTGAAGAAAAGTCAGGGCTTATGGAAGAAACTTTTGGGGTCACTGTGATCTCAACTTTTATTTTAGTTAGGAAGGGAATTTTGTTGTTGAAAACTTATCAGTCTTAGTGAATGGCTGGAAAAGAAGGCTGTAAGGGGAGGCTAGTCAGAGAATTTTTAAAATTGTTGTCTGTGGCAACCATGACTTAACTTATACTACCTTTCCGTTAATAATACTAGAAGTCTGGTCTGATCCGATGCGTATTCACTCCATTTCGGAGCTCAGGCCACTGATGAGTCACTTGCAAACCCCTCTGTCCCTGGCCAGGTGTTCCATCATGGCCCATGTGCAGCCTTTTGACTGGATGGTGCATTCTGTAATCCCTTCTTCAGCTGTTGAACGTGCTCTCCCTCTCCCGTCTGCTACCCTGCAGGTTCTACTTGAGGACTCGGTTGATTATAAATTTTTTTCATTTTTCGACTGGTTACAGTGTTACATATTGCAACAAATTCAACTTTTTGATAGATCTCCTGATCTGTTCTTACCAAACAGTAAAGTGGAGTTCTCTGGACATCTGATGTGGCCTTACATGGTGTAGATACATGTATATTATTCCTATAATTACTGACCAAAAGAATCTGGATCTCTAGATCTCCACAAACTAGTAAGTACCACTGTCACTGCCCAAGACTCAAGGTCGGTGAAAAATCCTTGAATGAATTCCTTGGATAGTTTGAAGAACATTATGGGAGTACCATCCAGTGGAAGAGTTCTACTATTATACAGACAGCTTCTTAAGCAAGGAAAGGCACTGCAATATACAGATTATGACTTTTTTCGAAGGTCAGTAAGACAAGAGTTTGAACAACAAAAAGATGAAGTGGAGATCAAAGTAATCAAGGAACAATTTGAGGTAAAGTAGATCTGGGAGGTAGTGGTGTAATATGACAACTGTTTTTTTTTAGGGGTTGGAACATTTTTATGTTTATTGCAGCATGTTTATAGGTAGCATGATCAAAATATCTCAACAAAACAGAAATAGATACCAGTGACACGCAGTATGGATCAGGTTTGGTGATCTTTTACAATAAATAATGGGGTTTTGTTTACACCATTCACTGGTTGTTGAATATCTGGCTGTTGTTGAGAGGTTGTTTTGGTAGTTGGGGTATGCTTAAGTGGCTGTTATCGATGTGAAGAGGATGCTGTTGTAAAGTGGCTGTAGTAGAGTTGTGGCTGTTAGTGGAGGTTTGACTGTAGTAATACGTTGGGGCAATCAAGTTGAGAACTGAAGGAGTGTATTCTTAATTCAGGTAATGTGTACCCAGGGCTCGAGACTAACTTTTCAGCTTGCTAGCCCAGTGGCTAGTGACAGGTTTGATTCACTAGCCAAAACAAGACGCACACATTTGCAAACATAGGCATTAATGTTACAATTATAGGCGTCGCTCAACAATGAAAACCGAAGTTTTCGCTTCTGTGAGAAATTCCCACAGAACTTTGCAACTTGCAGCCGAAGAACATTCCTTTCTTTCAAAGTGCCGATTCATGATTTCTCATGAACACAAGATAATTTACAAGTTGCAAACATAGGCATCAATATTATATAGGCATCATTCAAATTTTTGAAAAACTGCAAATTTTTAAATTTTTTGAAAGTGTACGTGACCTCCAGATGCCGTGCGCATGAAACATGATCCCTAGAGTTCCGCATGATTTCACGCATGACTTATCATTAGTGGCAAGCAGTTTGTTTGTCGTTTGTCGCTTTTTACAAAGGGAAAAAACAAACTCTTTCGCATTTTAGTAATTTAAAGTTCTTGTTTGGGCCAATAAATTACATATGATATTTACTACAGCCGATGTTTTAAATTCTGCACACTTTGGCTCAATTTCGTTTTGTGAAAAATTTGAAATTGACTTTTAATTGGTTTCCTCTGAGCCTCCAGTGCTCACAAATTTTCATTTTTACCAGCCAAAATACCTAGTGAAGTGCAAAAACCACTAGCCAAAATGGAATTTTTACTAGTCTGTGGCTAGTTGGCTACCATTAGTCTTGAGCCATGGTACCTGTATTATAATATGATTTCATATGATGTCATTTCTTTTTAAATTTGTTTATTTTGTTTAGAAAGGAGTGCACTTTTTGAGGACAAAGTTAGGTGGACTGCAGTAAGGCAAGGAAAATAGGCAGCTGTGCAAAATCTCCAACAAAATGTTAGACCTGCAAGAACAGAACCCAGCTCCATGTGCTGAAGAGAGAAGAATTAACACATCAAACTAAAGGAATGTTCCCCAGCTGGAACAAATTGCTGTTAAATTGTTGGAGGTATAGTCTTGTAATGAAGTTTGTCTAAAAAGTGGGAAAAATTGAATGACATGATGGTGATTTTGGACTTTAGTTTTCTGATGTACTATCATTTTGACATTACATTGTGACATCAAGCAGACTCAGGGATGTAGCTGAGTTACCTTAGCATCAGTGGGGAGGAGGAGAGAAGCAGAGCAAGGCCTGACATGAAGACATTCATTGTCTCATGTTGAATGTTCAAAATCTGGACTCTATGCTGATTGGATAACACAGAAAAGACTCTTATGTCACTTGTGATTTAGACCTACATCAGCAATTTGATCAAGAGATGTATTTCAAAAACATGAAAAAGTTGGGAAATCATTTAACAGTGCTAAGTTTTTTATGCACAGGAAAGATTTCAACTTGCGATCAGGTGTTAGCAGGTTAGAAAGTACCCCAAAGTTCTTTCAAGGCAGGTATCTTACTAAAGCAAAAACATGCTTCTTTTTGTACTAGTTGTTTTGATCACACAAAAACAAAATGAAAACATGTTCATTTACATCATGTGTAGCCAGGCAAGAGTAATGTACTCTTTTCAAGCCTATTTATGACTGTCAAAGCTTAAGTTGAAAACAAATTTACCAATGCTTGTCATGTATTATCAGTGTCATACTGTGTGTGGCAAAAGTCTAACTCTAAGCTGTAGGGTAGTTCTGGAAGTGCTAGCCAAAGAATTTATATCTGTAATATAATCTCACAGGACAGCATTAGCATAGCAATACATGACCTATTTTTTGTTTGCAAATTTTCACAGTCTTGACATTTGCAGAACTTTCAAGAGGCCATAAGGCACTATCTTGAAACATTATTCATCAGTTTTACATGACAACTGCAGGACTTGATGTGAGTTTGATTATTTACTTCTTATTAAGACGTATCATGCCTCTGCCATGCCAAGCTTTTCTTCCTCTCCTTTCGTTCTTTTTCCTCCCTGTCTCAGACTAGTAGCTAAGGGCTGGCTCGCTGATTTCATCAGATAAAAGGAAGCTAGTTTATTAGTCGTACCTTAAAGATGCAAAGCTGTATCCTTGGGGACAGCCCTGGTGGATGTTTCAGTATACCTGTGTGAGGGGAGAAATTCAAAACCCAGAAGAACTGATTTGTATTAAATTTCTTTCCAACAATTAAGAAAATTTTGAAGTTTGACTTATTTCAGTGAATATCTAGTTAATAACTAATTTCCAGCACTGATTTAGCAGTAGAAAGATTAGTGGTGGTGCCTTTAAACCTTGAACTTAGCTTTGAGTGTACCTCAAGCTGTTTGCACAGTCAAATGTCAACAACAAAACAATGCTCTTTATTGACAAGTTCAAGTGAATGATATCTCTTTAAAATGTTTTACAAGACTGTTGAACAATGTTTTTGTATTGCATTACCAGCATATCAATATGCTACTTTGTTTTCTTAAATAACTTTCTTATAGCTTTTATTTAAATAAATTCATTCATTGTTTTCATTTGTTGGCTGGTGTTGATATAATATTAAAGCATTTCCACCATTGTCTTCAGGAGACCTTGTCTTTACTCATATCAATCATGAATCAAAGTAATCTTTGTTGTCAGCTCTTACTACAACAGGGACATCATCAAAACTTGTTTTGTGTGGTCTCGTGCGTCTTGTGATAATGTCATCAATTAGCCTCTTCTTATAAATCTTCCAGTTTCTGTCCTCAATGTAGCACTTAAAAGCCTGTTTTTCTGTAATAAAGGCTTCGCTCAGTTTCTGTTTTAATGTCTCCAGTGTTTTTCCTCTCTCCTTTTTCATGAAGATGAGTTGTCTGATCAGCACACAGTGTACCTGTTGAGTATGAAAAGTGGTTCATCTTCGATTTGTAGTGATGCTTTTTACACCCCTGTTTCTTTAAATTGCATGTTTGTTCAGAGAATCCAGGTGGAATGTGATGAACACGCTTAGGTGCCTTATTAATGCCCCGAGCTTTTCCAACCATCCCAGCGTCAGTCAATAGCAGATCACTACGATTCATTTTATTTGTAAAGAGCTTTTGTTGATCGTGCGAGGGGTTAACCCACTAGTTTGACAGTTGCTAGATAATAATTAGAAGAGGTTACTCCACAGGGAGCAATTGATCATTTGAGGAGGAACATAATTCGGTTCGGCAAAATAGAGAGTGTTTTCCTTAAGTACAATGTAACCTCGTTAATCTGGTCACCAACGGGCCACAAAAATCTGGCCATATTAACGGGGTGGTCGTATTAACCGTTTGATCTCCCGTGCCGCCCGTAACTGGCCCTGACTAGCTTTGGCCTTTGTTCCACTTCCGATGTCATCACCTTTGACAAAAATTGGCATCATCTATATTCAAGTTCTGCAGGAGGAAAAGATCTTTCTAATGATAACCAGGTCAGAGTGATCGGCTGAATGGAGCCTGAAATATGCACGAAAATGCCATGAAACTTGAATGAAAAACTCGAAGCAAAATTTCCTGCGACTACACTTTGCTACTCTATGGTAAAAATTGCCCGTCTCCATGATGCTTTTACAGACGCTTTTGAACTGGAAGCAAGCCCAGTGAAAGGTCAATCACTGCAGCAAAAAGATAAGAGAAGGAGAACAAAGAAAAAAGAAAGGCGAAGAAAACCGAAAGACGTAGGTCACTTTCTGGTCCAAAAACTCCCGAAATTTTGATTTCTGCGCATGCCCGAGCAAAAATGGCGTAAACCATCGCGTAAAACACGATGCTAGTGGAAAGAAAGGTTGAGTAGATTGGAGCTAATTTAGCTCAGATCCAGGCTGAAAATCTTCAAAATTTTCAAAATATGCGTTTTTTTGCAAAAAGCTCCGGGAGTCAAGGTTTAAAGGGGTTCTTTGAATAATAAAATGACCGACCGAGCTTTTGTTCGAGCCAGAATAAAGTGGCCGTAATGACGAGGTGACTTTTATGAACGGGTTGGCCGTAAGGCGGGGTTCCATTGTAACTTTATTCCCGCAACCCTGTTAAAAAACATGAATTCAGATATAAACAACCTAATTCAACTAGTAATGTTGAGTGTGTTCTTAAATGTGGTATCTGTAGCAACTGTACAGTTTCCATGGGTGTGCGCCATCTGCTGGGCCAATACTGAGTCAGTTGGCTTATCGCCTATTACTAAATCTCGCGAGAAAAAAAGATTCTTTAACATAACTAAGCTACTTATGAATCTAATGAACCGCATAACCGTATTCAATACGTGATGTGGTCTTTGCGATCCAGGAAGTACCGGGAGCCCTTGAAATAAGAACCAACAGATGTCTCTTATGTTTAACCGTTCCTACTCACTCTTCCAACTGTTATAATGAATGTTTTCCTGAAATCCTCGCCCACTCCAAAGAAATCTCCTCTGTTTAACTCGTGAACAATAATGAATTTTTTCACCACTCTTTCCTTGTCTTTCATGTTTTTCCGGTTGAAGTTGATAGGCGGAAGTCGTAGGCTGATTTTACCGGAAGAAGATTCCTTTCGTATCATTGCTATTTCTCTCACTACTTTACACGTGCCAGATTGAATGAAATATACGTCATCAGCGGGACCATCTATATCGCCAAGAATCACCTGCAAGTCAGTTACAGCCACAGCTCAGACCCTATTTGGGGTTTTTGGAATACGGGATATTTATATTTGGTAAAAGGATATCGGGATATGGGATATTTTTGGGAGAAACTAACAGATTTTCTGGGATATCAAGTAGGAAAGCTGTTAGTTTTAAAATTGAAATTCACGGGATATTTAGGCTAAAAATTAATTGCATATGCGATACTCAGACTCCCCGTAATGGGGCCTCAAAGCTACATCAAAAGTCGCCTGTACAAACTGAAGTGGACGCGTATTAATGCGTTGGTTTTTATTTCTTCTTGAAAGGTTGAAGAAGGGTTTCGGGATTCGTATTTTGTTTTTGTTTTTTCGATGTGCATAACCCTTTGCATTATTCTTCTCACAACTAATAAAATTGTAAACACATTGTACATCCATTTTCCATAGACTTAAAGTCCGGTTATTTTCGCTGTTATTGCAAATCGGAGTGTGTCACCAACTTGGAAAGCTAGACATTTTTTAAAAAAGCCTATTGTTTGACAGTTGTTTCTTCGTGATGGTAATAGGACCGAGTGGAGTCCAATTCGGTCTGTAATCATACGAGTGGTAACAAAATCGTACGACCGCGCAGCGGGAGTCCAATTTGTTTATCAAGAGTATGATTACAGACCGACTTGGACAACACGAAGTCTTAATATCAATTAATCATAAAAATTACAATTAAAAGACTGACAGAGGAGGCGTAAATTGGTTAATGTTGCTTAGCTCTGAAATTGAGATTGGTTGATTTAAACTACAACTTTGAATGAATGTCATTGGTTGATTTAAACTACAATTTTGAATGTGATTTGCGTATTGAACTGTCTGATTAACAAACGGTCCGATAACAACTTGACAAGTGAATTAGTGGAAAATAAGAGTTTTTTAAACCAATCACAATCGAGGAGATTGTAATTTTTATGATTAATCCCATTACAGGCCCGCTAACACAAGCGAATTTGATTAAATTTTTGTTCCGCCGAAATTGCAACAAACGGGCGTGAAACTGCAAACAACTCCCAAGAAAATGCATTTAACAACATACCGTGTTAGGAGGGAACTCTCTGAGCTTGGTATGTTCAACTGTATGTCGTATTTCAGTGTTTGCCCATTCTGAGAGAAGCGGCTGCGAATTAAGCACAGATAGCTTTCTCTCCCATTCGATTTGATGACTGTTTCGTAAAACCTGAAACCAGCAAGCAAGACTGTTACGTAGGAAAACTTTCAGCATGCTGGTTGGCCGAGAGCACGTCAGTTAATCTCAAACAGTACAGAAAGGTTAAAATCGAGGGAGGAAAGTTGAAATTAAATTGCATGTATGTTGTTAACAATTAAGCCCAAATGATTTTTCTTGCGAAATTTGGAATAAATAAGCACTCGTTAACTTCCCAAAAGACTAAGAAACATTTCCTTCTGTTTATTTCTTCCAAATTGCACTGAAGTCATTTGATTACTTACACAATTATGCAGTGCACATAACAATTCAAACTTCAGAGATTGAAAGTAACTTAGCCTTAAAAGGTTCCGTGAAATGTCCAGTCCGGAAAAAGGATGAATTCCGCTTTTGAAAATTTCTTCTGATTTACTGTAATTTTCTTATCACTCGCGAACCTCTTACAAAAAGACTAGAGCTATTCAAGGTATTTAAGGGTTACCTTTTGGAATATTTACCAACCTCGTCAAAATCAGGTTTGTCAACTCTAAGGAACTCTGAGTTTTCTTTACATATGATCGTAGCTGTTCTTCTGATGTTGTGAAGCAAAGCCAGTTCTCCAAAAGCGTCTCCTTCCGACATCTCACCAACAACCTGGACCAAAACATTGTCAGGGTTTTACTCGTTGACTCTCATTGATCAACGGTGATTGAGTCTGGATTTGGTCGCAAGTAATGCGATATATTTAAAAGATGACAAAAGTTGAACAAATACGAGAAATGAAAAAAAACCCATTAACGTGGTTCTGTAGTTGATTGTGCCTTCACTCACTCATAGAAATCTCGCGAGCTCATAATCAGTGTAAAACGGAAACGCGACATGAAGTTTGGGAGAACAAGGAATGCAATGGATAAACAAGCTGGAACAGGCGGCAGCACTTTCCCAGCTCTCCGAAACTCTCATGATTGTTTTTTGACTCTTTAGAAACACGGATATTTTTTTTTCTATTTCTTGCCATTACGTGAACAGCTCGTGGTGATTCAGTGTTTCTAATGAGTTACGGAAGTACGTTTTAGTATGCAGATATGGGTTATTTCTGGCCAAGCGTGAGGTCCCAAGAAGGACGAAACAGCTGTCC